ATTTGCTGCGGCAAGTGCGTACTGGCCAGGTATGAGAGACGATGTTGCACGATATGTATTAGCGTGCCAGCGATGTCAACTAATGAAAGGGATCGATGCATACGACCGCGATTGCAGTCAATCCCAGTAACAGCAGTTGATGGTTTGTGGTCAGTAGATGTTATGGGACCGTTCCCGCAGACGACAAAGGGTAAACAGTACCTGCTGGTGATGACTGAGCATGCCGCACGATGGGTAAATGCCGTGCCGATGGCGAACCAACGTGCAAAGGACGGTGACGGAAGCGGTAATGTGGCACATTGTGGCGGACCATGGGATACCAAAGATAATATTAACCGATCAAGGTCCCTGTTTCGAGAGTGATGAGTTCAAGTCCCGTCTAAAGCAGTTAGGTATCAAGAGAGTACGAACAACGCTGTATCATCCACAGACGAATGGGTTAACGGAAAGGAATAACCGAACGCTAAAGGAATGGCTAGCATCTAAAGGGGATGACTGGGAGAAAGAATTACCATTAATATTGCTGGCACATCGTGCCTCGGCACAGGGAACAACCAGGAAGTCACCGTTCCAGCTGATGTACGGCAAACGGCCGAGACTACCAACGCATGATAAAACCTGGCCGCAACAACAGAGATGGAATACAACAAGATTGAGAACAGAGCGGAGACAAGCAATCAGGAATGTGAGAGAGAAACAAACATCAGACATGGAAAAGTCAGAACAGGAGAGAAAGAACTGGAAACCGTTTGAAGTGGGAGACCAGGTGAAGTGTAGAGAACGGAAATATACCACAGGAAGAGGGCCAGGGTCAGGTAAGCTGATCCCGAAGTGGGAGGGACCGTACGTCGTTACCGAGAGGCGCGGCGCAGTGTATGCGATCCAGAAAGGAAACAAACAGAAACGCGAGAATGCCAGTGAACTCCAAAGGTGGTTCCAAGTGCGCCAAGAGGGCGAGCCACAAACACTGATAAAGAAGACGGCTGTACGGAGATCGGAAAGACTACGACGACAGCTTATTAAAAGGGGGGACGAGTGTGGTGCTGTGGTGCGAGCTACTTATAAGTAGTATATAACGTGAGTGTCAAAGTAAAGTCTGGTAGCATAATATGGGGGGAAGATCAAGAAAGGAAGAGTTAGAAAACAATGGAATTTGTATGAAACGCATGAATAGTGACAATGGATTGATGTTTGGCAACAGGAACAGTCCAGTTCCATGGGATGAACTGATCTTTTGCAAATGAACGATTTACGATATGGTTTTCCGATTTTACTGAGTAACTGCGTAATTTTCGTTAAATACAATTCGGTTTCCCCACCTGTGTTCTCATTCACTACACTACGACTCTTAATGAAGTTGAAAACGCTAAAGGAAATCAGCAGGGCTTGAGCGGCTAACTATTGAGATTTCTAAGGATGGTGGTTCATTTTTTGCAATGAGATCTTAGTAGGATCTGGGAACCGGACGTAGTTCCATCTGGATGGTCTCAGTCAATATTTGTCGCAGTCTGTAAAGGACAAGAGTCCTCCTATGACAGTCACTGAGGCACCAGTCTAACCGATGTGTCTTAACAATTAGCTTCGATAATGCGTGAATGTGTAACTAGGTCTCGTGTAGAAAAATCTACAGAAAACCAGGCTGTTTCCAGACCTGCATAGACCAGACGTTCACACTTCTACACCGATACACATTCCCTAGTCCAACAACGATGGTCTTCCCTGGAACTTAAAGCGGCATTTGACTCTGTTGATCGTGAGGTCCTGTAGGAATGCCTATCATTGAAAGGTGTACCAAAGAAACACATTAACCTCATACCAGCTCTACTCAAACACTACTGATCGGGTGAGAGTTTGTGAACTGTAGTTGGGACTGACTACTACGAGTGTTCGACAGGCTTGTCCTCTTTATCCATTCTTTTTAACTTTGTCATTGACCAGCTTCTAGAATCGAAACTTTCATCAGGAGTTGAACTTCAACCAGTAGATTCGCTTGTTGACTTGGAGTATACCGATGACATAGTTCTATTCGGTGAAGACGCTGACAAAACGCAGTCTTCTGACCACCTCAATCAACAATGCAAGCATTTTCGCGATGCGATTTCTCCCCTCGACATGCGAAATGTCGCTTCATGATTGGCTAGCATCGGCACCTGAACTAGTGACAGGGGATGAAGCAGAGGCAGGTTTGAAGAATGCTATGGGCGACCAGACCAAAACACGGCACAAACGCATGAATTCACTGACATCAGGACAGCCATGTTGGTAGGTGTGGACTACCTGGTTGGGGTACGCGAGATGATAAATCCACTCTTCGTGCTCTCGTAAATTCTAATCTGAATTCCTCATTACGCTTATCTTTCTTGTTAAGTTTATTTCACTAGATTATAATTCTTGAATAATATTCTCGTACGCTAATCTTTCCGATTACTGCTAATACTTTTACCACCTCTACCACTATGAAATTTGAATCGACAATTACAGTTGACTGTATGTACGAAGTCCTCTGTGGAGGATAACTGACTGACTATCGTCATGAAGAAATGGCATGGCGAATGCCCCAAACAGGGTTACCTGTTTGACATGTTCTTTTCATCTAGAGCAAGAGAGTTTGATTTATGTAGACTTCTTTTGTATGATGACAGTAGAATGATTTACCTTATTTGTTAATTACCATGATGGTCCATGACTAAGTCCATGACTAAAGTAAAGGACTTGTCGGATGGGAAATATTCATTATAGTTATTTTATTTCATTGAATAGCCCTCCATTGCCATTTCCTGTAAAATTTAAAGACATGATTAATATGTTCTGACAATGTGAAGTGCCCCGTAAGGTGGAGCGTTTCCGACAGATTGATAGCGTAGTTACGACTAGTCCTTTAGGACCAGTGCTGGCTGAGGTTTTTATGACATATGTGGAAGGTCCATTTGGAGACTCGGTTCAAAAGATGTCTACATAAGTGGTACATGTGTGATATCAGAGTCATAAGTGGTAAACTCAAATATGTGTACCTCTCTTATTAAGGAAATTCAACACAATTCGAAAGCATATTTGTTTTACATGTGAAGAAAAGATGAATATAAATTTCTATCTTAATTTCCTCTTACCCTTTATTCATACAGTTGGACTTTTATCTTTCCATATATAAGTATGTGATCAGTGTTCAAAATGTATCACATAATTTAAATAACCTTCGTCTTCGCATACCATTATCCAAGAGCTTTTATTAGGAAAAATACATCATTTTTTAAAATAACTGTATTAGAAACTGGTATTACAAAGTAAAAAATTTAGATGTAAAAAACGGAAAATCTTGACATGATAGACCCAAACTAGTTTGTGTACAACATTATACGTTTGGTTTCAAATGTTTATGTTGTGTAACCTTCGGTTTGTTTAGCAGTACCTTACATGACTCATAATCCTGTTCACTAGGATACTGTTCACAGTCACTAAAAGTGCTCAGAAAACTTAGTTGTGATTCTAAATTTCGACTTGTTGGGACAATACTGTCGGTGAATTTCGATCTATTCACTTGATGGTGCTGACCAGCAATTCTACTAGAAGCTGTACTAACATTGGATATTGAATTACGACCAACTAGTTCTGTAGAAGTGGTTGAATGAATAGATGTGAGGTATTTTAGCATAGAAAAAATGACATCTGGACTGCAACCTAGTGCAATCAAGCCATATATCCTTCTAACAGAAAGATATTTAAAAAAAATTAAATTTTATCAAAATAAGAAATTAAAACAACTACACAAAAATTATTTTCTTCAATATATAACCCAGTATTCAGATACATGTCGTCCTGACAGTTTAGCGGTACGTGTAATAATAGTAACGATAAAGAAATACTAGGAATCAATATCCTAAGGAATATAGTGCCAGGATCTATTTACACCAGTCCCAAAGATTGTGAATCACATCATACTTCTGATCTTCAAGCACAAACTAAGCTAACTTAGAGACATAAATTTGAGGACTTACACTTTTAGGCACGGATTAGGCCAATAGTCAATGATGCCATGGACTACTACTAAGTGGTTGTTTGGGAACCTTCGGGATTTTAAAGTATGCTCTACAAACCCACCAAACTGAACGTATACTCGGAAAAGTGCGCTTTCCAGTTTCCAATCGGAAACAAAAGGTATAGCTTATCAAGTCAACCAAATGTTATGTGTACTTCTGTTTTTTAGTAATGACAAACCCAAGGGAATTATTTTGATTTCATGCTTCGCCTGAACTAACTAGATTGGTAATAAATACGTAAATGGGGCCATGGGCAAAAGGGCAAAACAGCCATTAAATATTCAGGTCTTTATTCCATAAACAATGAGTGTATTATGATTTATTTTCAATCATACCATTTTGGTGTCTGACCAATAATTACAAAAGGCTTTCAAGCTACCAGCCAAGAGCCTTGTTTCTTCGTATACGACATCAGAGACTGATTTCGATAGTTAGTTTACTTAAAGCCTTTTTTAAGTATATACCACACTGGATAGCATCAAATGATAGAGTGGGATGTCAAGTTACGCATGGCATAAAACTTAAGGCGTTTCAAGTCCACAATTCTACCAAAATTAACCACCCAGTAGCCAGGCACGAAATCGCTAGTCTGATCTTCAGTCACAATTTACGTGAGATGCATGCGTACTACCCGAATATCTAATAGGAAACAGATCGGATGGCACTTAAACCTACAACTCGGTGAGTGAGAGTTAAGTATGTCAATCACTGGGGCATGCTCCACAGAACCGCCCAGAACAATTTCGAGTGCATAAAACTGCCGACCGTAATCAACTCCTGACCCACGAAACTGCCATTTTCAAGCACTGCTTCAGAGACCCTAATGATTACATCCCTGTGATGTATTGATATATTTTCAAGTTTTGAGGACAGACAGACAGATACAACGCAGAACTTCGTACATAAGTACATCTGTTCATGTTGCCATACCACGACAGCACAGAGGAGGAGCCGAATTTCAAAGTCTGGAGAACCGAAAACATATTAGACTCATAAAACTGATCCACTAAGCAATACATTATTGAGTCGGACTTTCTTAAAATACTATAACGAAATTCGCCTAAAACGAGATAAGTCACATAAAGAACATAAATCTTAATGAAAAAGTTCCCTCATACCTGAAAACTTTGTTATCCATGGGAACTCCCGCTTTAATTGCAAGCTCATATAGAGCGACATCATTTGGGACGGTCATCTGAAATGCATTAATGTCCTTGTAGCAAAACAGAAATAAAGAACCAAAAAATTATTAACATAAAACATGCACAGATTTATACAAGCATAAATGACTCAAAAGTGTTAAATGGGAAAGTACTTTCACCGTAAAGCATGCCCCAGGACAGCCAAAATATGAGAATAGGTAACAGCAATAGTGAAGTCAGTTTACTTCAAGACGGGATCTCTGTACACTCGGTTGGATTTTATAGGTAGTGATTCGACCTAACTAGATACAGCAGCTGCCCCTGGTTATATCACACAAGCTAATACAATAAGTCACTAAATTACAGTAATAAGGAATCGTTTGCCAGAACTCAGTAAGAAGTTAATGGAACAGGCAACTCAATGAAACGGTTAAGCCGGCGTAATTTGTCTTGTCTTTACTCAAATTATTGGCCACTATCATGTCAAAATTTGTAAACATTTTGTACAAACGGAACGGCTTGAATTTCGGTACTGTTTTACAACAAGCGCGCTAGAACAGAAAACCCAAGGACTGATGACAATTGAGGATTCCTGTAAACAGAAATTGTGCAAGCGTTGAGAAACAGATCTGAACAAAGAGGATAATGCACATCAGTTACTTGGAGGAGTGCTTCTCGATCGAGTACGAGGACCATATTGTTGTATAGTGCGACAACACACATCCTATACAAATCGCACTTAGTCGCTTCGCAACCACTGTGCGTACGTACGGTATGTTCTTTGCGAAACACTTTTACAAGACTGGCAAGATTCTGTACCTGCACTCACTGTCGAGAGTGTAGTCAGAAGTAGTCGGGAAATTCGTGTGTTTGGGCAGCTGTGTGAATGCTAGTGGTGGCATCAGTGGTGAGATCAATCTACGTAAAGTGAGTGAGAGCGGCCCACCTTAGAGCCGTCATGACGTTGGCTCGGTTGTAGAAGATCAAGCCAGTGAGGGTAGTCTTTCTCCGTGTTTGCGAAACCTGATCTCTTCAAGTTAAGGATGTGTGACGACTTTCCAAGTTTATCTATTGTTGTTTCTGAAGGATTACTGACACTCAGTAGCAACTCAGTTATTATTACTCAGGTTCGGCGACTCAACTAGTGACACCATTTTGAAATACTGGCCTCAGGGGCTTGGACATGCTGCGAATGTCATCCTGGTGGCCTACATATTGTGGACCGGTTGGGAAAAGTAGCGGTCAGTTAATGAATTGGAGTCGGGTATGAACAGGTTACATATCCTCATTTGTGTGACTCATATCCATCCCGATACTCAGCCATATCAGTATTTGTATGTAATAAATGGATAAATAAAATGAATGTCTTAATCGTTGACTGACAAAAAGTGCCGGGCGAATGCTTACATTACGAAAATTTACAAAGTAAAACCCATAGATGGAGACGAATTAACTGAAGTGTTTGCACAATGCAGTCTCACAAGAATGCCGTATGGCACCGCTAACACAAGCTCCCATCATGACTTTTAGCCAACTACTTTGACGAATGACTGATGATAAGTGCAGATAGCTCTATTACGGAATAAGTATCAACATTGCTTAGTTCAGTAGGATATTCTGAGACTGTTTATTACCCTATTTCCTAGTAAAAATTATTCATGTGCAACAGTGAGTAGAAAAATGCTTAATTGTAATGCAGGTAATAATCCTATAACATAACGCAGTCTACTAAAGTTTTTTTGTTGATTATATATGTCTTAGATTTGATCATATGATTTACCTTTAACGACAGGAGTATCCAGCTTCAACGTCCCTGAAAAACAATCCCCAAATTCAAGGTAGCCAGTGTGACTTTCGCGCTAATTTAAGAAGTCGCTGATGTTAAACATTCACTGGAAATCAAATTTTTTATCTAGTTCTAGAATGTCTAGTACGGCGTTTTTTGCATACAGTGAAGTTTTACGGTATGAAAATTACCACCAGAAGTGTAGCTGATCTTTGTTCACAATATAAGAAGCCAGTATTCGTAGCACAACAGTCAGTGTGCTTTTATTAAAATTGGGTTATTAATAATACTCCAATTTTTTATCCTATGTTTGAATATGTAGCGAAGCAGCTGCAGTCAATTTGTCAACGTTTAGGCCTAAGTAATATAGTAAGCGAAGTATTTTAAAAAATAACCTCGTCTAAGTTTCTATATCCTGTCGAGTCATATGAGTTTGTCATGTACATAGTGTGTATGTTCCTTAGAGGCGCCAAGGATTTCCCACAGTGAATTGGTTTCTGAAAAAGGAGAAGGATTTTATTAAAAGATGTCCTGTCAACTTAATGGAAATTTTATCGTCGAATTCAAGGTCACCACGAGTATACCGAAGTGCCTCAATGAGTCTTCAAAAATGCGGTGATTATAATAATAATAATAATTTATTCCCAAATAACAACCATGTTACAAGAGACATGCCGATTTACAGGCAAGATCAAAATGTTGAGATTAGTAACGTATTTCTTTTAATTGATTTACAGTTACTGAAATATTTCACGATATTTATTGGAATCCTATAGATGAAAGGTACAGTGAGAATAATTGGCGCAAATTACGAAGTTTGCGTTACGACTATCTTCTTATTGACCGCGAAACGATGCATGGTAGAGCCAGGTTCGCATATAACAAGTATTGATGAGGCAAACGTACGAAGGTCTGGTTGATATTCATCAGCTAATGATTTTACATGTTGCTGGGTAGGGTAACCAAGTCTACGGCAAATATCCAGACTAATAAATGAGGATAGGGATAAGATGCTGAAAAAAGGGAATAAAGAGTACGGGACGAGGAGCACGACAGAAAATATTCTTGTTTAAATCGATCAATGACTTAGCACATACGTTTTTGGATAAAAAAAGGTATGTTTCCTCAGACTTTTTTAATATATCTGAACACTAACTGTACACCTGCACTTATGTAGGTTAATGAAGACAATTCACTAGTGACATAACTAATGGGAAGTTAGTCGTATGAATAGACGAAATTCAGAAGAACCTGTAGTGTGTCGATTTACTGCGTGTTCTTAAGCTCGGTTTATAAATCAGAACATAACTCGTAGTGATGAATACGTTTATTCGGGACACACCACAAAGCGAAGTGGAGGAGCAGTGAATAAAACGAAGGAAGCGAATGGATAGGCGGATTCGAGAAGGCTAAGAGCCAACTTAGTGAAATAGAGCATGTCTAAGAATATATAGTCAGACAAAAATAAGACAGACATATGACAAACAAAATAGGCATGCACAGACATGAACAAAAACAACGAATGACTGACAAGGTCAAAGGTCAGCGAGACAAGTCATGTGAGTTCATAGGGGTATTAAGAGATTAACGTTAAAGCGAGAAGGATGAGTCAGCGCATAGGCGTATGCAACGCTCAGACGTATAAGCTCATACAAACCACACAATAAAAAGTACCAATGGTACATTCTTTTTGGTGGGTCGATGTCTGGCTGAGAACATAGCTACATCTGAAATTTCGATGCATCAGTATCTGCAACCGATTAACTGACGTCAATAACGATGAATTTTTTGACACGCTTGTAAGAGGTGATTATAATGCTATGCGTCTACTAACGGCTACGATGAAGAAATCAAAGAGGTTGCAATCAATCTTTGGATATGCACATCAAATGACTTGACCATTGTGATGGGAGACCCAAATGCGAAGGTTGGAACAGATAACTCCGGATATGAAGACATCATGGAACGACAGGGACTGGCGGACAGGAATGAAAACAGTAAGAGATAGGCAATCCTATGTGCCTTCAACAAACTGGTCATTGGTGGCAACATATTCTCACATAAACACATACACAAATCCATATGCATTTTACCGGATCACACCACACAGAACCAAATCGACCATACCTGCATGAATAAAAGTTCAGAAGGACCATGGAGGAGGTGAGAACCGAGAGAGGAGCTGATATAGACTCAGATCATCACTTGATGGACTCCAAGACGAAACTGAAACTCAGGAAGCACTGGATAACTGGATGGAAAACATCACAAAAGTTTAATGCGGCCTTTCTTCGGGATACATACAAACCATTCCACGAATTCAAGATAGCCCTCACAATAAGGTTCCAGGACTTTCACGATCTACTCACTGGAAAGTAAGCTACGATTGAAAACAACTGGTAAGGGATCAAAGAACCAGTCACTTCGAAATGTGATGGGGTTCCGTGCTATAAGAAGCACCATCAAAAGAAATGGATCACTGGTGACTCACTGGATAAGATTCAAGAAATAAGGAACATGAAGGAGGCAATCAGTATCAGCCGAACAAGATCAGAGAAAGCCAAGGTGCAAGTCGAATACACAGAAGCAAACAAGCAAGTGAAGAGGATCATCAGGGCCGTCAAACGCAAATATTTGGAGGATCTAGCAATGACAGCGGAAACCTCAGACAAAGAAGCTCGCTGAAAATCATACTAGACCACAACGACCAGTGAAAAGAAAGGAAGTCAAGGTAATCACCAACATTGGAGAACAACGAAAAAGGCGGGTAGAGCACTCTGGAAAACTCTTGAATCGACCAGCCTCACTGAGACCACCCAACATCGAAGCATCACCTGTGGAAGTCCCAACAAGTGTTGGCCCACCAACAATTGAAGAGAGCAGAATTATCATCAGACAAAGTAAGAGCGGCAAAGCAGCGAGATCAGACAACATTCCAGCAGACACAGTGAAAGCAGACCTGGCAGTGACTAAAAGGATACTCCTCATTCACTGCAGCAAGATTTGGGATGAGGAACAATTACCAACAAACTGGATCATAATACCAACCAACGGCGATGTCGGCAAGTGTAAGAACTACACAGGCATCACTCTTCTCTTAATACCAAGCAAAGTCTCCAACAGTGTGGTGGTAAAATGAGTGAATGACTCCGTAGATGCTCAAGTTCCAGATCAGCAGGCAGAACTTCTATGATTGAGGAACATCTGAAACTCAAGACAACTATCAGCCATCCGTCAAGTCAAAATTTTCAATACAAATGTCAAGACAGTTCTACTGCATGGGGCGGAAACTTGGAGAACTGCCGAGGCCATCATCCAGAAGATACAAGTATTTAATAACAGTTCTATGCACAAAATACTTCGTATTCGTTGGCCAGATACTATCACCAACAACCTCATGTGGGGGAGAACGAACCAGATTCCTGTGGAGGAAGAAATTATGAAGAATGGCTGGAAGTGAATAGGACACATATTTAGGAAAGCATCCAACCCCATCACAAGACAAGCACTCATCCGGAGTCCTCAAGGCTAATAGAAAAGAGTAAGAGGTCCAAGGAACACGATACGCCGAGAAATGGAGACAGGCTCGAGAAGAATGAGCGACAGTTGGACAGAACTAGAAAGGAAGGCCCAGCACGTATTCCCAGCCAACTGTCATGCGATGTCTGTCGAGTGCATTTTCTGCAGATCACTCAACTTGTGGCAGAAAATATCCTTCATTTCGCCCAGGATGCATTGACAGAGGTAGTAAAGAGGCATTATTTCTCATTCTCACCTTGATGGAGCTTTCTAATCAAAGAGCACATAACCGACCGCTTACATTTTTCAAAAGGTGATCAAGACATCCTAACGCTATACCTATCGTTGAATGGATTTCAAAGCAATTAAGCTAAAGGAAGGCACTCAGTCGGTCAGATCAGAGACTATGTTCAACTAATACCAGTAGAGCTAAATTTACATTCACTCTCCTGGGCTGCGCACCCTCGCGTCTGCATTTAATATAGTTTCGTCACAAGTCTTCCTGTGTATAATATACTTTTTCCACGGCTTTCCTGGAGCTAATCTTTTAGAAGGAGTCTCACTTGTTGACTTGGAATACACAGGTGACACAGTGTTCACTGGGTCAGAACATTACTGATGAGGTACTCCGATGATGGGGAACCCCTGGCACCCCGACCCATAAATTATCAAGAGAAATTTCGGGGATAATAAAACATCTGGTGGGTGAATCCAACTACTCCATTAAGTCTGCCACACAATTCTTGAATAAACTCAAGGGGATTCAAAGCGACAACAAAGAAACTATGATATCCTTCGACGTAACAACCTTATTCACCTGAATAGGGCGAAGCTTAGCGAGAGAAACTCTCTCCCTGCTTTTCGCCATTAACACAAATCTGCCAAAATATACGAAACTTCGGAGCCAAAGTCTGCTATATTTCATGAAGCTATGCTTCACAACGCATTTTCAATTCAACGATAGAGTCTACGAACAAACAAAAGGAACACCAAAGGAATCATTAATATCAGGACACATAGCGGCAGCCGTAATGGGAAGACTAGAAGCGTCGGTTTTACCGGTGATCAAGCCAAAAATGTCGGTTCGCTATGTAGACGACACATTCGTCATAATCAAAAGGTACGATCTGGCGAATATCAACAACTGGATTAACAGCGTCTTCGATGACATCGAATTCACGATGGAAAAGGAATCAAACAGCGGTCTATCGTTCCTGGATGGACAAATCACCAGAAATAGTACAGTAAAACTGGAAACTCAAGTACTTCGGAAGCCAAATCACACCGACGTAATTCTCAACTACGTTAGCAAACAACCCAAGAACCCACAAACTCAACTGCATACAAACTTTGTTCAGGAGAGCGAAGACAAACTTCAGCACACACGAAGCACTAAACAACGAGGAAAAACACGTGACTATCTTCCAAAAGAACGGCTATCCACGCAACTTCATCAAAAAACATCAACCGAAATCATCAACATAAGCGAAATCAAGCACAAAAACCAATAAATGGATCATCCTACCATACATAAAAGACATATCGGAGCATATAGCACGACTGCTGAGACCATTTGTAATAGGTTTAGCACACAAACCAACAGGATCACTTCAGTCAATCCTATCTAGACCAAAGGACAAGATGGCATAAAAATAAAAACCGAATATAATCTACAAAATAAATTGCCCAACGTAGGAAAGGGGACTTCCTCGTCAGCTTCGTTTACGTAAACACCAGTTAGCAGTCAAATGCCACGACTATTCTTCACTTATATCAAAACATACCGGCTATTATGGACAAATATTCGATCGGAACAATGTGTAAATACTGGATAGGGGGATCACAAAGAACACAAGAAAATTTTTAAAAGCTTGGAACTCAGTTCAATCAACAAACACACCGACATCGACCCAATTTATCAATCAAGCAGATAAATCATAGGCGACATAGGATCAGGAAACATATCAAAAGGAAGATACTATCAAAACAAAGGTTTAAAACAAGGACAGATTTAAGGACAATAGCAACCAATAAAGATCGAGTTAACAGAACAAGCTTCGAGTCGAACGTAGAGAAATTCGAATACTCCACTTTTATCTGAGGTTTGAGCTGATGATGTTCAGAAGAGCAATGAAAAACATCCAGCTCAGAGAACGATGCACCACCACAATGATGAGATGCTTCTTGTTTTACGTTTGAAGGTTCTCCCCCGTCAAAGACAGAAAATTGGTGGGCTACTGACTTTGGAAGTAGGGCTTTTTGGCATGACTTCCGACCAAAGTACACAACGAGGATCAATATCAGAGTAAAATATAAGTACAAACTGATTAAATGACGTATTTCAAATGTGTATCACTAATTTCTGGTTATTTTTACGATTCGGGTGGCACACTTATATTGTTATATAAGCGAAACCACTGGCACACCGCACAAGTCAATGAAATAGTGTGCGGGCTAGTTGACGTACTGTCCGTGTGCCCAAAATCAAGCAGCTGGCCTTATTGGGAACCAAAAGGACTAATCTACATGGCAGCAAAACAAAGTTAGTAGATGCAGTCCCACGATAACTGGTGACCAAACCTATTGGTACATTCAGGATCCTAAAGATGATGTGGTTTGCAATCAACGTTTTTCGATTCGCATAATAGGGATCTCTATGCCCCCCAATGCGGCCAAAGTGTAATACATTCGCTTTTCGTCCTCTCAATCTTGCAAACAACGAGCCAAAACAAAGCTCTGAGTTGGAATTTTTGGTAAAATCTATACATGAGAAGCCATATGAAATCATATGGAAAAAAATAGTGGACTTTCCTCACTCTCGTTCCGCGCTTGGGTATTCGGGAGCTTGGTCAGTTTGCAAGCAGAACGTTCCAGCTACTTTATTCAACGCTACTAGGAGTATGGATTGATAATATTTCCTTCCTCACTCCAAAGCGATGTATCCATATAGTACATAATAATCATAAAATAATAATTTACTCTTGCAGTTCGCTTTTAACCCAAATGGTGTAGGTTCATACGCGCCCCGCCCAATCCAAGTCCAAAAACGATAATTCTGGAAGAGAACGATTATATATTTAATCACAAGGGGAAATTCAGACAATTACCAAAACAATATTACACCTTCGAGTCTCCAATTACCACACTTTAATATGGCTGTAGCCATATTATTGTCTCTGATGCTTCCTTCCTGAGTCATTCCATCACATTCCCTCAATAACAGTAGGCTATTTGGTGATAGAGCTAGTCGGTCATTAGCGTCCTGGACAACCGGGGTTAAGGGTCGGTCGTTCAGAATTCTCTCAATATCAACCAGATAGGTGCCCAAGGTTTCGTCCGTTAACACCTGTTCTCTGGTGATCAATAATAGCAGCCTCCGTATAGATCTAATCATCCGTTCCCAAACTCCACCTCTATGGCTGGCTAGTGGGGGGTTGAAATGCCATTGAACTTGTTAAGAGTTGAGAAGGATCTTTAAAGACACTCATTGTATGAAAGCACTTTAAATTTCCGGCAGCTTACACAAGAACGTGGCCTTTCCATGATATCGCTGTTCACAAGAGGTCAAAAAACTCGTCCTGCTGTCAGCGTCGTGGTTACTCCGACATATAGATGAGGTGCTTTGTGCAGCATTGATGATGTTTCTGAACGGCTGGTTTACCCCTAACTATATATGTGTTACAAACTAAAGTTCTGCTAAACTTTTCCGCCTGTTTGGTTCGTGGTTTCACAGTTGTCGATGATAACTGCTGATGGAGATCATTGTCAGTTTTTTCAAGATTAGCAAGTTTAAGGTCAATTCTGGAGAAGTCAATCACGGACTTCGTGTAAGACAAGGTGTCTGTGACTAGATTGTTCGTTGTATATATTTGTTGTATATATGAGGTGAACTGTGAGTTGTAGTTCAGCTGTCAGGACTCTTGAGGATAGTACTTGTCTAAATATGAGCCAAGAGAAATAGTTAAAGGTTTGTGATCTGTGAAAAGAGCTAACTCTCGGCCTTCGCCAAATTTTTAAAAGTGTATTACAGTACAATAAACAGCCTGAAGTTCCCTGCTACTCTTCTAATCACTTCACCACAACGGTGTCTTGAAGATTGTCAGGTATTGTTTACTTAGAACTGACAAACGTACATCACTGCTGGGTTAGATGCGTCAACGGTATGCATGCATTTTGGCAAGATTGACTTCCTGACATGTTTCTTGGCTGTATAATGCCCCTCCTTTATACTGTCATGCAAGCTATTGATTTCCGCACATGCACGTAACTGATTCACTCAGATTCGTACTGGGTCTTCAGCAATAACCTGTCGGTAGTCTTTCGCTGGTGTCCTTTTTTGGGACCATGTGCCACAGTGGTGTCTATGGGCTTTTTAGCGTTTCATTAATCTATGCATTTATCACGTGATTAAAATCACTCTTTTCCGGTCTAAGCTTTCCAGGAGCTATTCGCCTGGCTTCTAAGAACACAGATTGTCTTATGTTTCTGAGTTGATGTGCGACACTTGGCGATCGCGGTCGTGTTTGTTACAGTTCCGGGTAGCTATCAAGCATCGGTTAAAAGAACGGGTAACCTTTGTGTTAAACTATGACTGGGCACGGCCTACAACCAAAAAACGAAGCTCCAAAAACAGGTAATTTGGCATTATTGTCCGGCTTTGCTCACCAGTCAGCTCCCCGGAGCACCCGGGTTGCGGAAACTGCGTAGTTTCTTGCAGTTTTCGAACTATTTGAAATGAGCTTCGAGTAAGGTTCAGAGTGGTTCTGAACTCGGAAAAACAGTTTTAGAAGTTTACATACGCGCCTTACCCGGTCAATCAAAAAAAAGCAATTTATCTGGGTAAGAAATGGTTCTATTATTATTCAAAATTGACCTAAGCAATATTACACTGTTCTCCGTCAAAAATAACACAATGTGTTTCCAATCCCGAAAGAATGCTCCGTATAGTTTCGAAATTGCATCCTTCCAGTACAGATTCACATTTTACCCACGAGGGTATCAAATCCGATATGGCTGAAGCCATAATTAAGTATCAACTTAAACAACATAATACAGTTTAGTAGAAAACATATAAACTCCAATAAAGGTACAAAAATATAAATTATGACAAAATACAAATATTAACATCACAAAATGGGACCACCAAAATGTAGCTCAGAAAGAGACAGTAAGAACATATCACAAATATATACATGGAGGGATTTTCCCAAACAAAGCCTTCAAAATGGATTCTACATTTCGTGGTACCAACACTGACTTTGGTTATCCGTTTCTCGCAGTCTAGGAACAGGCCTATGTGAGAAAGGCTTCTTTGAGGATTTTCGGAGAGTCTTCGATCATGATGCAGAATACGGGTTATAAATTTGAAATGATTTGGAGCTTTTTCTTTAGATGACACACGTTTTGATTGAGGTTCTGGCGGTCTCCAAAATGCGGTTGGCTGAGTCAATTGATCGACTGCTTTTCAGTTAGTTTAAATGGGAAACACCGAAATATAATATGGTGTCCCAAGTGACATATTTGGTACGTAGTAAAACGACTGCTGTTTGACTGTTTTGAAATTTTATATTATCGAATAGTTAGTCCGACGTTTATCGATCTACCAAGTTTCCGTACCTAAGTATGACCATTCCTGAAGTTTTATAAGTTTCCTAAACAATACTGGTAAATACATTAGGTAAAACATTATTTTGCCAGAATGATATCAGTTATTACGTTGCAGTAGGGAACTCTCAACTTTAAAGAGTTTATGTATGAGTCCTGACGAAATAAGTACAAGATATAGCAAGATTCCGGAGACTGTGATAGTACAATAATAATATAGCTGTATGTAAATATGTATGGTTTCAATGTCAGGAACGTACTCACACTTTGCTTGCCTAAGTAACACCAGTCAACTAATAAATATATGGTATAGGTCAATTTGATTGGAACATGTTGTCAGTTCTACAGAACTGCACAAAAAACTGACAGTCTCGATCGAGGATCTGTAAGACGAAGTTGAGATGGACAATGCATGATACGGAACACTTAATAATAAAGAGACGTGCTCGAGATTTTGATCAATACTTACCAGTGGCCAGGTTAAATCTAAGGCTGAAGAAACATTAGTGGTGATCGTGTCGAGGTTGATTATGATCACCATCGCGTCATCATGAATACAAATAAATCCAGGGCAAAGAATATATCTGCTGGTGATTTTGTGGTTTCAAACGAACACAGAAATTAAACCAGGAAAGTGGGCGAAATAAAGAGCAGCATGCAACGAAGAATGGCAGCAACACAAACAGAAAGTTGTGCGTGGAAATAATGTTATAAACAGAAAGTACAGTTGAAAGATCACTGGTAGAAATGGTTATAATAATGAATGATTCTATTAAACCAATCGCGTTCTCTTCATAAAGGTGTTTCACTACAAAACTTCTGACCACTGTTTAATTAATATGCTGAAAGTTTAATACAGCATCCTTTGAGATGCTAACAGGTTCACCCAGCTCAATAAAACTGTCAGCAAAATGTATTACGAGATAACATGTTTGAATATTACAGTAGAACTACACTGCTGTTTGCACTGGATAAAGTCTTTAACAGTATTACTGAACTAAATGAGATTCAGCAGACATCTACTTCGAGGTCGAAAAGCTGGTTTTGGTTATGATAGTTTAGTAGTGAGGGATACCAGATTGACTATGATAACCACTAAATGTTCCATACTATCCCGTCAAATATATCAAAATAAATCCATGTTCCAACGTTTTATTGAAGGAGAGAGTAGGTATTACATAGGGAGCAGCGCATTTAGAAAAATGGCAGCAACGCGAATAGAACGTTGCGCGCAAGAAGTGGTTTTGGTACAGATAAACACAACAAGTACAATAATGTTTATTTTTCACAAATCGTATTTTCTTCGTAGAAGCGTTCCACTACAATAGTCCATGTACAAACTAAATAATGTCAAAGAATTACAGAACCGTCTATATTAGGTATTTAGTTACTACTACAAATATATTTGTTAATATTATTAGCCTAATATTTTAAGATCTTTGCCCTATCAAAACATCGCATCAAACGAAGCGATTTCAGTAAATATACAAGCAACAAAACTGTTCATAAATAACATTTTGAATGTTCTAAGCGAAAGAATTAGTTCCTAACTTACTCAATTTTATATATGAAACTAAGAAGACGAATGATGAACTGCAATGTTTTGCCTATGCTCTGTCTTTAAAAATCTCGTTTTAATATATTAAAACAACTGAAGTGCACATCGACCGACTTTTTTATGTAATTCTGACCGAATCCAATTCTAATGGAATAAGAGGTACCCTGAAAGCTAGAGCGCTACAGATAGTTGAAGTTATGCTGTATTTGGTACTATGTATTTAATTAAATCTGAACGATTAGAAAAGCGAACTTTGGCAGATATTCTGAACAATAAACTAGTTTCATCTAATTTTTCCATAAGTAAATCTGACTACGGTAAGAACAATTAACATATCACTTCACTACTAGATTTCTCGCCAGCCACAGTGCAGTTAGACGTCACCTACTTGGTAGTAGCCATGCTGTTAATGTCTTAAAGTCCTTCAAGGTAAACAATAGACAAGGAAGGCTAAAATTATTAGTTTTCAGTAGCAATCACCGTTGAAAGACTGAAACCAAATTTCTGTTTTGAGAAAGACTTATCAAAGTTGCTTTGCCATGGTTAGATAATTCAGAAATGTTTGTTACGCGATTCTGCTTTACGTGGGATTCATCATTATCTGACCTGTACTCAGTTAGACAATTTTGCTTTAGGAACAACATAACTGCGATATTTAAAACGCATTCCTGGATAAATGTGTCTATGTTAAGAGCGGTTTATTCTAGAATAATCCTATAGTCAATCTATTAGTATTTACAATATGTAGCATATAAATCCTCCCACACTTCTTCCATATATATATAAGATTACTTAGCCACATAGACTTCCGCTTACGCTCTCGGTTTCCAGTTCAAGCAATCAGTTTATGGTGATAGCCCATATCACCTTCAGATTTCGGACGCCGCTCATCATAACACCAAACCTCCTTTATCTCGTTTTGCGACTGGCAAAAACCCTAGAAAAGATCCATCCAGAGAAAGACCGTTACACCGGGAGTCGGAGAGACATCAAACTAAAGAACGGTACTTGGGGACAACTAGAAAAGAGGGACCAGGACAGAGTTGGTTGGAAAATTCTAGTCAATGATCTATGCTCTTCGAGAGAGTAAGAGGTAAGTAAGTGATCTTTCTTCTTTGATAGAATTCAAATTTTGGTCCTCAGAATAATTTTAAGCTGATGGTGGTGGCTGTCAGCATTAAACACGTAGGCTGAACTTAAATATTTTAGAAGCTGGCAAAAGTTAAATATTATGAAAATCTTACAATTCTAAGAGATTAAAACGAATTGATCATTAAAGATTTCGAATTTACTGAGATAATTTTTCTAACAAAACAAACAAATACATATTATCCCATTAGTGTAATTCCAATTTTTTAATCTAAATTGGGTCACGTTTAGTTATATTTTTGTTACGTATGAGTTTATTACGATGCTGGAAAGATACATTTAAGTTTACTAACTCAAAATAATGTATTTAGAACCTCATATATGAGTAAGTACAAAATTTCAAGGTCCCTCAGTAAACATAACTTGAATGAGTCGGCTAATCATAACGCATTTAACCCATTATTCAAAATAAATAGACTACAGATAAAGTTTGATCACTATCCAAGCCAAAAGGAATGGAAGTCACTCCTAACTTTATTCAACAACTAATGATCCATTAGATCCAATGACTACTAAACTAATATCAATCTTATTAAATTGCTTTTTTCTTGGTAATTTTAACTGGTACAGAGAAGTACAAAACTCGTATTCATAGCTGTACGACTAGATATCCCCTGCAGTCAAATTCAACCACCTACTAAATTACTGGTAGCTAATCTCTGTGGCTAAAAATCTAAGAATTGCGACATCATGAACCAACTTTCAGCAAGATCATCCAAAATTTCAGTGTGCTGTTGTCATTAAATGTGAAGATTTACCCCTGAAATGCAGACCAGAAGACAGAACTTGGGTGAGAAAATGTAAGTGTCTGTTCAATAATGATAGCTGTTTATTACTAGTAGATATTGTAGGCTCGTGTGATTATGAGTCCCATCGTGACTGACAGACGATGTTGATACACCTGTTCACTGCTACACATTGATTCTCCGCTAAATTTTTACTTTGTATATCAGTTGACTAATTAAACACTATCGTAAATTCAACGATTTTTATTCCAACCTATGTGTATAATACGTTGTTTTTAGGTATGAACAGTACACTGTGGACGAGTCCCTTCAATAAATGAAGTAATGTTCAAAGTAGGTGAAATTAAAAATCAAAGGTTTTCGTGTGAAGTATAAAGCCAACTTTTTCTCAAATGTTCGTTTCTAATTATCTAGTATTTATAAGAAAATTCTAAATGCATAGTTATAAGCTATATATAGTATTTCAACTCGTTTTTTAAACTTTTAACAGGGCTTTTTAAAATAACCAAAAAATTTTTTAAAATTTTCACAGCGTTTTTTTAAAATAACCAAAAAACTGAATGGACTTATCTGAATTCACCGAATCAACAAATGTTTTAGCAAAGAGAACTTCATTTTCTGTTATAGCCGATATTAAACTTATATTGGTTCCACGCGTTGATGGAACTAGGGCACTTGCCGGTTTTCCTCTTGTAGATCTTCCCAAGGTTCTTCTTAAGTTCAAATTAAAAGAAGATTCATCTATAAAAACTTTTATAAATGTATCTTCAATGTTCATAAAATTTTGAGCATAAATTTGGCGTTTGTTTTTACTGGATTCCGAATTTATATTGACCGATGTATAAGAAATCTTTTTTAAAGTAATCTGAAGTCTATAAATTATCCTTCTTATAGATTCAAGAGAAAGGCCTATAGAAAATATGTTTTCTATTTTTTATCGAATTTCTACCATCGTTATTAACGGGTTTAATTCGATCAATTCTTCAACAAAATTGATAATATCACCGCATATCTTCTTATTTGATGGTTTTCCTGTTTTTTTCTTCTCAACTCGCGATTCCTTTTTATACAACCTTATAATATATATTTGTAGCGGCCTGATAGTTTACATCTGTACGAAATGCCGCATCCTTGACGCTGTATCCATCTTCAATAACTTTTTTATAAGGCTTTTTCTTTTTTCATTCGAAATCAAGTTGTTTTTTCTATTTATTTCTGACATTCTAAGGATTACAAAAAATTTTAAAAAACGCTGTGGTTATTTTAAAAAACCCTGTTACAAGTTTAAAAAACGAGTTGAAATACTATATATGTATGCCATGGTCGAAATATTCACGTCTAGATTCAGAATGAAATAGGACGTAAATTATTATCCTCATCTGCCATGTTAAGAATCTATATTCGACAATTACAAGTTCAATTCACTAGTACAATAATACTGGCACGATATCAATTACAACAGTCTAAATAACAATTATAAAGACAAATTTCATCAATACTTTCGTTAGATACTCTCACCAACCCTGAATTTCAAGCATGACCGGTAAACTCCATACACAATAATAACGAACAGAACAATAATATCGGTGCGGGCGCCAGAAAAATGAGCCTTAGCACGATCAAACAAGACCGATCGAATCAACACTTCAGCTCCCTTGATAATATATATAATACTGAATCTATCTGTGATAACTAATAATATAGCGAACTGAACCAGTAATTGTTTAACAAAGGATATGTCAGTAAAAGGCTATATTATTGTTATTACTATTATTATTATTATTATTATTATTATTATTATTATTATTATCATACACAGGTTACATTCCCAAGTAAACAGTTAACCATCAAGTTACTGTATTACATGAGTAAGAACTGGATGATGAAAGTAACTCCATTTTCGAATTCATTTATTTTGAATATCATCACTTTAAATAGTTAACTATATTTCAAAATATCAT